AACGTAGACTATCAAGGCAAAATCGGATTGAACCTTCCAAACACAAAACATTACTTACGACGATTAACTTGTGAAAAGTTTAGGAGGCCTCAGTACCATTCGAATCCAGGCCCAGTGCAAGTTCTACTAGCTGAACGACGAGGCCACACCGATAGCATTGATCTTCTTCATATCGATGTGGCCTCGTAGCCCAGGTGCTCGAATCCAACCAAGGCGTTCTGAACTTTTCACAATTTCAACATAACACTTCAATCGATCAAACAATCATTTGAACAATTTAATTTCAAGTCTCATGGAGCTCAATAACTCCCCCCCCTCTACCCCCTACCGCCCCCACACTGCCCACTTACACACACACAGAATGTGTGAGAGAGAGAGAGAGAGAAAATGTTGGTTTGAACATAGAATGATTCACTATCTTCTATCAATAACACTTCCATATGGCAAACTTTTTAGGCGTTTGAACTTGTTCTCGGTCCAGACAACCCGATTAAATTTACATTCGCATCAATTTAATCGCTTCCTTCGACTTCTTCTCATCTCATTGATAGTATGCATTCTGATTCGCCATTGGATGCAAAAATCAAAGGAAACATGGTCCGTGATATGTTGAACATTGCTGGTCTTCAACTGCCCGAACCATCGGACACAAATTCCCACACAGTTATTCCGTCGTGTTTCACAAAACCCCCACCATCCCGTCAACCACCGACGGATCTGGCCAGTGCTGGTTCTCAAAATACATCTGTGCAAGTTCAGATTGATGTCAACGGGGTTCTGATTGCTCCCGCTGTAGATTCAACCGATCCGGACTCATCCACCGGGACTGTAGAACAACCGCTGCGAGGTGGTGGAGACACCGAGTTGACTACAACCCCGGTCGGTGGTACAACCAAAAAGATCCGAGTCCCAAGTCATGAATGGGTCATAGACAGTCGATTACACATGACCCAATTGAGTGCGGACGAACGGGATAAGCGAAGACATTTTGTGCTTCGAGCCCTGCAACACGAACTACCAAAACCCAGTATTTGTACTCCAGCCAATAGTCAACGTAACATGCTCTCCTCGGCCAATCCCAGTTCAAACGTATCCTCTTTGGGTATGGGTAATAACAATTATCAATACTCACCAGACAGTGTGTCTAGTAAGGCAAGTATTCGTCCGGTTGGATCCACACGGTCAACCCTGTTCCAATCATCCACATCCGCAGCTGTGTCGAGAAACTCGTCATCCACCGAGGACAACTTACCAGCTTCAAATCTGATCCGTGCGATCCCAACAGGGTCTATTAACTTGATTAGTCCGACAGTAATATCGAAGTCTAGTGCATCTGATCGGAACAAAGTTTTGCATAATACGAACACTGTGAGAACGAATGGAGTTGGGGACGTGAATGATGTTACTACTGCTGATGATGCGGACGATGATGATGATAGTGATGAAAACGATGCTGATGATGACGATGACGACGAAGTTGAGGTTCACGTGAGCAATTCATCCGATACATGTGATCCGAATTTGTTTGATAATGTGAATAATAGGTGTAGAAAAACGGCACGATCAATGGGTATCGGACCGTCTTCACCGGATCTGCGCAGTCATCGTATTCCGCATCCGTCTGTTCTGGCTGTACAAACCAAAGAGACCCAGGTCAAACCACCCACAGCCCCGGCCTCAATCAGAACGAAACTTCTGTCCAGACATTCGACTGAAATTTCGGGCATACGTGAGTTCTGACCGTTCCAATTTTGTTCAGTCAAAAAGATTCGATGTTTTTTTTCATGTACGATGAATGGTGATTGGCAGATCTCTGCCAAACAATGTAAAAGTAGATACTTGTTGCCAGGAAAAATCACCTGCTGGAAAGGATATTTTCAGTCTTCACCTGTGCATCATTTCCCGTAAACTGGCGTCTAATAATGCGTAAGACATAGTTTACATTTTTTTTAATGAGTAGCCAGTTGTTTAATTATACTCTCATCATGGGATATTTGTATTTCTTTAAATTTTTCAGCTAAAATGTACACGGTTCGTCACGCGGTATGAAATATACAGTTTCATATAGCATGGAACGTAAAACATTTCGCTAATGTTTGTTTCATATATAAAACTTCTGACGTAGTTCACTTGTCACCTGTCCTCTTTTGGTTAGGAGTCGGGCCGGGTAGGATACAAGGGAATTTTTTTAAATTTCATGCCAGATGGTAGATGCCGAATTGAGGAGCGACAAGATGATAGATTGGGATGCAGTAGATCAAGTGGGTTGTCTAGAATCTTATTGGCAAGTTTAGCACAAAAGTTAATGTGACCACCATTAATGATCTATGTGGTTATTGAATCATTTGGGATTATTGATGTATGACTGACGATCATCAAACCATGACGAATGGTTTTGAAGTTTTGTTTTACAAGGTCGGGAAATACTACTAGAGTAGAATGGGTAAAACACATTGGTAAACGAAAGAAGACAGGACTGGCTATAGGGGTTCGGAATTGCCTGAGCTTATGTAACTGAAAAGACAGGCGTCGTAGTCTTCCCATACGGTTGTAAATATGTGTAGACCAATGAAGATTGTTGTCGATAGTGACACCCAGGTATTTGACTGAGGTCATTATGAATACAGGTTTACCATTAAGGGTAGCAGACTCCCTTTGGAAATGAGGAGCGGGAAAGACTGAGGATACACTGTACGAACTTAGATATGTTGACGCTGAAACCGGATTAATTGGAAAACTGTTGGATATGAATTAGATTTTTAATGAAACAGTCGAATTCCGAAGGAGATGAAATTGTCTGAAATAAAACGACGTCACTAGAATACTTTCGGATGTGCGTAGGCGAGGGGGGGACCAAAAAATTGCTAATAAAAGCAGAAAAAAAGATATGGAGATAGAATATCACTTTAAAGAACACCAGAACTGTTACCAAGAGGTTTTGATTTTCTCCCTTCTAATTTGATGCACTGGATCCTCCCTGTGAAACAGTCAGAAAGCCATGACAGCAGCAGTCTCGAAGTGTCGAAAGATTCAAGTTTGAAAAGAAGGGATGATCAATAAACAGAATCCAGCGCAGAATACTAGTCAAGGGAAACACAACGGACAGACTTGGCCGAATTATTCAATGACTTTCTGATACAATACATTAGATTGGATGCGGCGTCCAGGAGAGATCTGTGTTGGATTTATATACAAAGTTGAGAGTGTCATAAGCGATTGTGATTAATTGGCTGCAATCGACTCAGGATGGCCTTCTCTAGTCAACTTTAGAGCCATTGAGATCAGCGCGATAGGACGAAACCGTTTCACCAGAGCTGTGGAGGACGTGGATTTGGGGATTGGCATGATGAGAACTTGATGCCAGGAATCAGGGCTGGACCGGGAGGATAGGGACTCATTCACAACGGATATCATCATATTGATTAGAGGAAGATGCTCCTATTTAATTCAAGGACAGTCTGATTAAGTAATTATTGGAGAATAAAAATAAATATGAAGACTTTATTATTTCTTAAAATAGAACTGCTTGATTACTAGCTCAGATCAAAAATATCCATTTTTCAGAAAATTCTCAACATGTGTCTATTGCGCTGAATTCAGTAGTCTTTCTTCATTCCTCCAGTACACAATGAAATATAATAAAAGCATATAGAGAAAATTCAGAACAACGTTTACGAACTTGTTCTTCAATGTAATTTACCTGACGCTTGTACTGTGCTTGTTGTGTTTTTTTCGTTATACCTTGTAGTGCTGAGAGGTACTACTCACATCTGTGAGTAGTAGTAGTAGTAGTAGTAATAGTGCGAATTGTTTTATTCGAAGTTGTAACTACAGAAAATGTGCATCTACCGTCGATCGCTCCTCCAACCAGTATTCTGCTTGTTGGTGGGAATTGGGATGACCTGTTCCAAATGAGACGCTGTATTGAATTACGCCAGGTTATCAATATTCTCTTCATTGTTCGTCATCAACAACTCTCCTCGTCCCGACATTATCTTGTAGATATATATAACGCAATTAGATTAAAGTAGTGCCTTTTATTGGCATTATCGGTGTTGAATATGTAAGCACTGAAGTTTACGATTGTCTTTATCCAGGGGATTACGAGTAATACGTTTTTCATGCTACATATGGTATATAGGAAACGAAAACCCGTGGTTACCAAGTTCTACTGTGCAATTGTGGGAACAGGACTCCCAATTTACTGGAAATTAAAGTGGCAAAATAGGACAAGTGTGAAGCTAAATGAAAGTGAAGGTACGGTGATGACGTCGGGTTTCGTACCCCGTACCTTATGACTTGGGGGCACACCAATGTCAACGAACTGAATCACCGGCACACAAAAGTAGCTTCACTCTGACTAAGATTATTGGTCTCTGTTTCCGAACATCAGTCCACTGAACGTTTCAAATAGAGGCATGAAGCTTAGGGGATTGTTTTACGACTTGGTCATGTTTTATTCCAGGGGGTCAATGATGAATTTATTAACACTTCTATGCGGGAAATGAGACGTTAATACTTCAGAAACTGGATTCTTTTCCTTTGAATTTGTACTGATTTGATCTTCATGTGTACGCCATAGAACGTTATTGCTCTTTTGTTTGTATTGTTTTTTATGTCCATACTAAAGTCAGAATAGTGACAGCTTGAAAAACTACGAAACAATGATTTTAGTAATAGGTTTTATTGCTCGAATAGGGTAGCTTGATATGCAGTTACCCGTCAAGATTGGAGTCTAGCTTCGATACTAAACAATAAAGCTCAATGCACCAACGAAATCATTTTATTCATTAGTGAGGTATTAGCATTCTATTTGATGATGGAGCCAGACAATTGAATACCTTAAATTCCTGCAAATGAAGCAAACATTTCCTTAGTACGAATCACGCATTCAGAGATAGTTAACATGAATCGTATTTGAGGGGTTAGTACAACCCAATGGTCTTTATCGTGGTAACAGTTTGTCTTACCTACCTCCTCTGTCGAACCAAATAGGGGATTCAATCGACTATGATCGATCAGGGACTGCGGAAGAAGTTGGTGCATACACCGGACAGAAACACCTTTCCCGTGGACTGAACGTTTCACTGAATTTGAAAGGTTGCGTACATTGTGCTACCGTTCGTTCAGCTCTACTTTATGGTTGTGAGACCTCTAATTTGCGAGAAGAAGATATCCATCGACTGGAAGTTTTCGATTATCGGTGTTTTACTTAGTTTAGCCAACGTAGGATGGAGCAAACGGGTCAGTAATCTGGAGGTATTCCGTCGTCTGTTTGGGAGTCTATCGGGGATTACTAGGCTTCGCTGATTAAGATACGTATTGTATACACGTAGTTATCGTCTACCGCACCGCGCTTTATTGGCTGTAGCCTCTCCCGGCTGGAGGAAACCACGTGGAGGTCAACAGATGACTTGTAGACGAGGCATGAAGAAATGAACAGAGCCATTAGGTAGAGTAGGTGTCTCCCGTCTGCCTGGTTTGTGTTTGAAGGGCATCGCAACTAGTTGGTTGGAGACATCGAATGTCATTTCTTATCATATCAGAATGCTTGAAACGGTATGTATGGAGAGTTTCATTACGTACTCTGTGTGTCGGTCATAGAGGCTCACTTTCTTTTCTCTCACTCCTTCAAAGTAGGTCCAATTCCTGTTCATTTTGAATACTACCACTAACCTTGCATACATTACGAGTTTGGCAGGGATCAATGAAGTTCGCCTCACTGTATTTCACTGTACGATAATGATAATGCATCTAATTAGATTATTCATTTTCTACTGCTTTCCGGTATAATTAGTAATATCAATCGGGAAAATATTGTTTATCGATCATCCGTCTATTTCAAATTCCCTAGGAAACACACCTAGCACGCCTAGCAGTCGATCCCCATTTCGATCCGGTTACACATCGGGCACCCAATCCCCGGTTCGAACGCAAACACTTCCCCGAGTTCGTCTGGCCAGTGCGACTGTGGACATTTTGGAATGTCTCACTCCGTCCGATGTACGCATCCTTATCGGGATGGTGGACGAATTGGAACGGGCTGGCGGATTTGAGTGTATTTTCCCACCGCCGACAGCCGGATTGGCCGTACGCTATTTGTCCTATTTCGAGGCACCACGTTATCCGAATCTGCTCTGTATTGCTTATTTGCAAAAGTACGGAGAGGATAAGGAGAAAGGTGAGAAAGGTCTCTCCGGAACTAGATCAATTGACACAAGGAGATTCGTGCAAAAAACCTTCTTCTCGTTCGTCCAGTTGTTGCCTATTATCACCAGTTTCAATCTTCACAACCTTGAGCCATGCATGCGATTTTGTGAGCCGGTTTTGGTTGCTGTCTTTTGCTTATCCATTTGGTTGAAACAATAGAAGAGAAAGACAGTGAGGTTGAAAGTGAAATGGAAAAGAAAATTGGGAATTTCAGGGGATTAATCGGTTGCAACGAAATGGAGAAGATGCATGTGCGCGCGCGGGCACCACTGTTTACGACACTTAACCGCATCACACTCAGTGTCTCTAATCATCGGTCACGTTCATCCGGAGGTCATCAGCTAGGAAGCCTAACGGGACCTACGTGACCATTGTTGGTTTTGTTACACCCAATTCCGGCCTCGGCGAACATCGCACGCTGTGGAAACGTATTTGGTGTCATGTGCAGCACATGCCCCAACCAGCGTACTCCATGAAGGCCCACTCTATTTATGTTTAGCCACGAATTGACGGTCGTTCCTCTATCCGCGACCTGTGGATGTTCTCGATAGCACACAATTGAAATGAAAAAAGCACTACTATTTTATAATTATCAATTTTGGATTTATAAGAACAAAATTCCGATTTTACAAACAGCAGCGAGNGTTTTAAATATTAAAGATAATACCGGCGATAATAATTAAAATGATATAGTCATTGTGAATGTTTGTAGATTAATTTTTTTTTAATATTTCTGGTTTTGCAATTATGAAGGTTGTTGGTTCCGCGAGGTCACCGGTTACTCTGTCAGAGTCATTATCCAAACAACCTCTACAAATAATCAGATTATCGCTTTCCTACATTGTTTTATTTTGTCATAGTCCGAGCCCATTTGATCTTTTTTCATTTGTTTTGTTTTTTATTCCCATCCCCTTGTCCCCTCATCCATCCACACACACACACACACACACACACACACACACACACACACACACACACATTCCAGGAATCGAAATGTTGCGCAAACATTGTGCCAGAAATGTGCATCTGATCTCCAGTTGTCAAGGTGATCATGTGCCCGTGGAAAATCAGTGGCATGTATTTTTGAAGAGCAGAAAATTGAATGGGAAACAACATTCACGTGTATCCTGTACACCCCCGTCTCCCCGTAGAGGCAGCAGATCAGTCAAAAGCGCAATGAGTCAACGTGCATAGATAGACCGGATCCGGATCCGGTGAATCAGACTATTTGGGGTGGGGTGGAAAATCACATATCGATCGAATGTAATATGCACACGGCCGCAGTCTTTCGTGCACAATTGTGCTTGCTCAGTATTCTTCACCTTAAATTCACGGCTCACAACACCGCTCTTCTGAGTGTGTGTCCGTTTCACTATTTCCCCCCTCTCTGTCTGTCTGTCTGTCTGTCTGTCTGTCTGTCTGTCTGTCTGTCTGTCTGTCTGTCTGTCTGTCTGT